AGGGAATTTCTTCTCAACTCCGTCCTAAACACAGTGCCAGGGACTTGTGTTCAATTCCACTCGTGGGTGACAGTCTGTGTGGAGTTTGCATGTTCTCCCTGTGCCTGTGAGAGTTTCCTCTGGGTGCTCTGGTTTCCTCCCACAGTCCAAAGATGTGCAGATTAGGTGGATTAGCCATACCAAATTTGTCTGTAGTGTTCAGGGATATATAGGCTAAGTGGATTAGCCATGGGAAATATGGAGTTACAGGATACGGTAGTGGGCTGGGTCAGAGTGACATGTTCTTCAGAGGGTCGCTGCAGACTCAATGAGCTGAATGACCTCCTTCTGTATTGTAGGGGTTCTATGATTCTATAAAGGATTGACCCCCTTATCCTGAGGCTGTATCCCCCTCATTCTAGATTTCCCAACCAAGTGCAACATCATCTATGTTTACCTCGTCAAGTCCTTTCAGAATCTTAAATGTTTCAGTAAGATCACCTCTCATTCTTCTAAACTCTAGGGGATATAGACCCAGTTTATTCAGCTCCTCATAACAATCCCTTAACCCAAGGGAGCAACCTTAACAGTACCGGCTCCGAACCACGTATATGCTTCCTGAAATATGGAGACAAAAATTCCACAATTGTTGGTGTACCTGCATGAGGACTTTATCTGGCTGTCTGATCATCAACATTTGCACTTTTTAAGACAATTCTGCTTTTCTATTTAGCACATTTTTGTGGTCCTTGTAGAAATTAATAATTTTAAGAAGAAATTTGAGATCCCAACAACCAACTTAAAAGAATACACAAGAAGATTTCAAATTTTAAAATCTTTATTGTAATGGACAAACTAAAAGCAATACTGACTAAACACTATCTTAGTCAGTAATTTACACTGTTCTGACTGTTTCTGGAAGAATGAGCTGATAATCAAGTCCCATTCCACAATTTACCCCATTAGCATAAATGTTTAAATTCAAACATCAAAATGGCCAATTGCTTTCCCTTCAGTACTGTTGTTCAGAATAAAGATGCTTTCACCAGGCTTCTTCAATAAACTCAAAATAATCTATTTTTTAAAACACAAAACTTATTCTTCAAACAAGAGGCAAAAGTGATTAATATCTAAGCCTTAATTCAGAATTAGAATTATATCCCTGTTACATTGCAAACAAACACACACGGAACAACAATTGTTCTGCAGAAATCATACTTTTTTTAGAAAAGGGGAAAACACCCTAACAGAGATTGATAGGTTTTTGTTTAGTTAATGGGGTGGAGAAACATATCAGTTATAACTGAATGGCACAGCAGATTTGATGCGCCTAATGGCCTAATTCTGCTCCTATGTCTTATTGATCAATGGTCTGTAAAACAAAGATAGAGGTTTACGAATTCTCAGTCTGCAGAGCTTCTTGTTGACAAAATTGAATTGCTGACAGTGTTATACCGATGGAAAATCTTTTAAACAAAGTTCCAGTTTGAATGAAAGTCGAGCTGGATTCAAATCATTGGACAGTGATCCCAGTTTAGCATTTTAGGGTTTGCTAAATTACTAAGGTGTTAGCTTTGTCAGGTTCTCAAATTTTAAACAGGAAGAAGAAAAAAGAGATGTTGCTGTCTTACTGCGACTTGCCCTTTTTTTCTTTCCAACTCCTCATGTTTGAAGCAGAAGCCAAAGCCAGACTCGGTTGCTATGCAACCATCAACACAGAGGACCCAGTCTCTTCCAAAGACAGGTACTCCAGCAATTAAGCATAATAAACCTTTTAATTACAGAAAGTGTCCAAACAGTTCAATATCTTAAAATGCAGAATTTTCCTACATGATCCTTAAAAAACATACACATATTCCTAACAATATCTGGATTCAAGATTCTGACTTTTTCATTCCCATTGCATTTTCCCCACCTTCTTGTCATTACCCATGCCACACCAGAGAGGGGTAAGTTCCACCCTGACTCTTAGCTGGACACCATATTCATCCAGAACCAGTCCAAATTAACTCTGGGGGGCTTGATTCCCTTCTTTTCCTTTCTCAGCTAGATAACTTCTAATCCCTAAGCTGTATTTTATAGTTAAGGTTAAGCTCGAAATACCTCCCTCTTGTCAATTTTTTGTCTCTTCCAGCTTTTAAATCCTCACAAACAAGGGCTCTTAAAGTTGTGATCTCCCTCCCTCACTCTTCTGTGGTCAATTTTAGAGAAACATACTATCTCTATTCTTCAGCACTCTCTTTCGTTTGGATTCTGGTAGGCTGACACAGTCTGTGAAGTTCAGAAGTATTTTAAGAAAACACCCTGCAACACGCACCAATCTTACAATGACTTTATTGGACTCTCTCCCTCTGAATATCCATTTCCATGGTGTTGTGAACCCATAGGCCTTGCGTTCAGGTATGAATGCTAAGTAGGTATCCTTTAAGTTCCTAGTCTTGTTCCATCTTGAAACCAAGTGGACAGTTTCAATTATAACCATTTACAAAGCTGGATATTCATGACTTTCCTGGGACTTTAGACATTACGCATGAATTTTCACTCTTGGGATGGAAGTGCAGGTTAGGGACAATTCCAGCCTCCACAAATCTGACCCAGGAAAAACTGTCCTGGATAGCTGGATTTTAGTTCCAGTGGAGAGTGTAAATATTGTGGACTAGCGGCAAATGACATAGAAAAAGTTTGGACACTTTCTTACTGCCTTGTGTGGAGGCGGATTGGGTGGAAGCCCTGCACCAGCACATTGTCAAAGCAATGAAAAGTAAAGTAATTAAAGAAAACAAACAACTTCCCAGCCCTTACCTGTCACAGCCTTTCACCCTCATGTGACATTCTTGATAACACATGGTACCTCATGCCCCAAGACCAATTCCCATTGTCCCATAGGTCCCTGATTCCATGCCATCCTACACTCCTCTACCTACTCCATGCTCCTTTATACAATTCATGCCAATCTATGCCCCTCTACGAACCTCTACCCACCTCTTCGAAAACCCTTCATAGCCCCAATTTGCCCTAATTAGCCCAGGGATCAATTTAGTTGCGATGCATGTCAAATGATACCTTCCAGCCTCCCCCACCCACCCAACTTTGTCCCCTTCACACACCACACCAATTCAACCAGTATTCACCAAGGGCAGGTCTCAGAGCAAAGCTGAGTTAGAAAAAAAAAAATCTCAGGAATCTTAAGTTTAACTATTCAAAAAATCTCAAGTGGATAAAAACTAAACATTTACTACATTTAATGTCCTTAAATTGTTTGCAAAAACAGGCATTGGCATTCAGACACTCTCTTCAAAGAGTTTATAACTACTTGGAGCTCATCAATCAACATGTGAACTGGCAGACACTGATCGTGTGACTCTCTGCATTCCCATTTTACTCGAAGTTAATGGCGTGGTCCCAAAACATAACAAACTTACAAAACTTTGCATTTCTAACAATAAATATATCAGTAAACAGAGCCATAGAGTCCATAGAGATATACAGCATAGAAATAGACCCTTTGGTCCAATCTTCCATGCTGACCAGTTATCCTAAATTAATCTAGTCTCATTTGCCAGCATTTGGCCCATATCCCTCCAGAGCCTTCCTATTCATGTACCCATCTAGATGCCTTTCAAATGTTGTAATTGTACCATCTTCCACAACTTCCTCTGGCAGCTCATTCCTAATCGTGAAAAATTTGCTCCTTGGATTCCTTTTAAATCACTGCCCTATCACCTTCAACCTATGCCCTCTAGTTTTGGACGCCCCTACCCCAGGGGAAAAGACCTTGGCTATGCACCCTATCTATGCCCTTCACGATTTTATAAAGCTCTATAAGATCACCCATCAGCCTCCAACGCTCTAGGGAAATTAGCCCCAGCTTATTCAGCCTCTCCCTTTAGCTAAAACTCTCCAACTGTGGCAACATCCTTGTAAATCTTTATTGAACTCTTTCAAGTTTCACAACATCCTTCCCATAGCAGGGAGACCAGAATTGAATGCAGTATTCCAAAAGTGGCCGAACCAACATCCTGTACAGCTGCAACATGACATCCCATTTCCTACACTACTGACCAGTAAAGGCAAGCGTACCAGTTGCGAAGATGATGCAAGCTATAGTGCAAAGGGATGAATGTATCACTCCAGATATTGTCAGTGCAACCCAGGGAGATATGGATTTCTAAACAAAGCTGTTCTTACCTCAGAAACGTGAAGAAGTATTCATACATCCACCAAGCCCATTTCCTCTTGCCAACTTTTTCCATTTTCCCATTCTTCTCAAGGCAGTGAAACCTTGATGGGATGTAGTTCCATAAATACTAGTTGTCCTCAAGTATGTCATCCAAGTGGCCATAATCTACACCTAAGCTCTAACAGTGAATGCTATGTTGACAGTTACATTTAGATGAATGGAAACATTTAAAAAATTACAATGCTGAAACTGGACACTTCCCATTAAAAACTTTTACGTTCAGTACATCTGTGAGAGGTACCAATCAAAGCAATGGGAAAATATGAAGCATCTTGAATTCCCTTACTAGTTTCCTTTCTCAAGCCCCACAACAAATATCTATACACAAATGGAGGGAATTAAAATGACAACCCACTCTGCAACTGTATAGAGAAAAAGATAACATAATGGCAAACTGTGTGTTGAGGGCATAGGAAAGACCTTCTGCCTACTTGTTTAGTTGTGTCATGTTAATCAATATTGACCTCAACCCTGACGCATGTTACATCTTAATATTAACGTGAAATTATATTGCCAATATCTGATCCCATAGATGCAATTTCCAAAATGCCAGTACCATAATTGCAAGAAACAAGCTTTTCTTGTTTTCTTTGTCTCTCTGAAAACTTAAAATGAATGATAATTTCTCAAAACATTTCATGAAATTCCCACAACAATTTGTAATTTATTTGTATTGTTTAAAATTCTAAAAAAAAAATTTATGGGAGGTTTGAAATAAATCCAGATTCTACATTGGTTAATTTTTTCCAAGCAAATACACAAAAAAGTAATGCCTGCTTACCCATTCCAGTACCAGCTGGTGCAATTTCACGGGAAAAGATTTCCAGGGCTTTCTTTTGCATGTGATGAACAGCCAGCCATATAACAGCTTCACGAGAATTCTGCACAACCAAAGCACAGCACTTCCACATTAACCAGTGACTGTCCAGATGACAGGGACAAAAGGCGATGTTTAGATTAATTAATATTCCACTAATTTCTGCACCCAATATTATTAGACAAGCAAAATTTGTGCAAGTATACTTTGTAAAAAGGGAAATATTGGGTTACAGTTTAAAAATAGCATAAAGGTGTGAATTTTAAAGGACAAATATGTGACAAATCAGTAAAAATACCATTATAAAGAGAAAGAGAAGCTTAAAGAACTGTCAATATTCATTGCATGGGTGTTTGCATATTTGATCATTTTAAAACCCAAATTGCTAAGATGATACTGGAAATAGTTACAAAATGTTTGAAACATTGATCACTACACCCATATACGGTTTATAAAATCACTTCACATACACCTGCCTTCTTTACTGCTTGCTTTCCATAGATTTCTTCAGATCCCAAAATCTGAACATTAACTGATTTGAAGTCATCCAAACCCATCTGTTTGAATATGCGTCGCACCCTGCATGAGTCAACAAATAAACAGAAAGGCTGATTTAGAATCACAAATTTCACAACATACACGTATCATTGCGAGTAGACGGAATTTTATTTTCCAATGGTGTAACTTCTGTTTCTTAGGAAGTGGGAATGGAAAAAGCTGGCAATGAGGAAAGCACAGTGCATAGTGATAGAAGTAAAATGAATTCTCTGCTGCAATAAGGCTGACCAGATGTCAATTTTTTGTTTTTTTTTAATTCCTTTTTAATTTGGGATGCTCTCCAGCAGAATTTGTGGCATGTCCCAAATTACCCTTGAATTGAGTGGCTTGTCAGGCCATTTCTGAGGGCAATTAAGACTCAATCATATTACATGTGACTCCAGACCCATGGCAGACGATGGACAGCAAGGAGAGAAAGGGCATTAGTAAACTAGACAGGTGTTTACAACAATCAATTATAGTTTTATGGCCACTATTGGTCCCCAAAGCATTTGCCTTGGCCTTTGGATTATTAGTCCAGTGACATTACCCTTACGCCATTATCTCCTTTTATACTAACTAACTCTTACGAATTTCATCATTTACATCTCAATCTTTTCCCAATAGTATTTATCTTCTACAATTAAGTATAGTGACTATGTTACAATCTAGTATCCCAGGGGTCTGGACCAATTTGCTGGAAACCCAAATTTAAATTCCACCAAGTAGCCAGGGAATTTAAATTCCATCAATTAAATAAATTCATTTCCTCCACCATTGGCCCAATGTGCATGAAATGTATGTACCATCAACAAGGCACAGAAAATCAAGATGCTAATTAAGTGCTAGTCTCCATAGAATCCCTAGTGTGGAAACAGGCTATTTGGCCCAACAAGTCCATACTAACCCTCCAAAGAGCATCCCACCCAGACTCATTCCCCTATTCCCTGTAATCCTACATTTCCCATGACTAACACATCTAACCTACACATTCCTGGACACTATGGGCAATCCACCTAAATTGCACATCTTTGTACTGTGGGAGGAAACCAGGGCACCCAGCAGAAACCCACGCAGACACGGAAAACGTGCAAACGCCACATAGTTGCCGAGAGTGGAATTGAACCCAGGTCCCTGACGCTGTGAGGCAGCAGTGCTAACCACCGAGCTACTGGCCTGCCTTAACTTTTCTTTGACAGCACCCTCCAAACACCTGACGTCAATGGTTTGGAATTACAAGGGCAGCAGGCAGATGGGAACATTATCAAACTCCACTCTCTCCCCAAGATTGATTTCTGATTTGGAACTGTATAGCACAGGAACATGCAATCCTCCTCACTATCTGCAGTTCCCCCAATCTTTGTGTCATCCTCAAACTTACTAATCAGATCACCCGCATTCTCCTCCAAATCTTAAATATATAATACAATCAACAGGAGTCCCAGCACTGATCCCTGCGGTACACCACTGGTCACAGATCTCCAGTCAAAAAAACACCCTTCCACCATTACTCTCTAAACTTTATGACCAAGCCAGTTCTGTATCCACCTTACCAATTCATCACAGATCCCAGATGACTTCAGCTTTTGTATCAGCCTGCCATGAAGGACCTTGTCAAAGGCAGTGCTAAAGTCCACGTAGACAACATCCACCACCCTGCCCTAATCAATCATCTCTGTCACTTCCTCAAAACACCTAATCAGATTTGTGAAACATGACCTCCCCTGCACAAAGCCACATTGCCTGTCATTAATAAATCCATAATTTTCTAAATGTGAATAAATCCTGCCCAAACCACTAACCTAAGGATCACAAGCTTGTAATTTCCCAGATTACCTGAAGCCCTTCTTAAACAAAGGAACAACATTGGCTGTTCTCCAGCCCTCTGGGACCTCTCCTGTGACTAAACAGGATACAAAGATTTCATACAAGGCCCCAATTATTTCCTCTCTTGCCTTCCTCAGCATTCTGGAATAGATCCCATCAGGTCCTGGGGACATGTCTACCTTAATGCTTTTCAAAACACCCAAGACTTCCTCTTTTTTTAAATTGATATGCCCTAGCCACCATGTCCTTCTCCTTTGTGACTGTCGATGTAAAGTATTCATTAAGGACACCATCCACTTCCTCCGGCTTCATATCTTCTGTCCTTGAGTGGACTTACACTTTCCCCAGCTATCCTGCTGCTCGTTATATATGTGTAAGTGGGATATATGTAATATGGGATTTTCCTTAATCCTGTTTGCCAAGGACATTTCTTGGCCCCTTTTTGCCTTCCTAACTACTTGTTTAAGTTCTTTCCTGCATTCTTTAAATTCCTTGAGGGGTCTGTCAGTCTGCAGTTTCCTAAACCTTTCACATACTGGCTTTTTCTTTTTGACAAAGATCACAATCTCTGTTGTCATCCAGGCTTCCTAAATCTTACCATTCTCATCCTTCATTGTCACAGGAACATGCTGGGTTTGAACTCTAATCAACTGGCTTTTAAAAGATTCCCACATGATTGTCTAAACAGCTGCCCGAGTCTACGTTCCCCTGTTCTTACCTAATATTGTCGTAGTTAGTCTTCCCCCAGTTTAGTACTTTCACCTGAGGACTATTCTTATTCCTATCCGTAAGTAACTTAAAACTTACAGAATCATGGTCACTGTTCCCAAAATGTGCCCCCACTGTGACTTTGATCACCTGGCCAGGCTCATTCACCAATACCAGGTCGAGTATGACCCCTTCCTTAATTGGACTATTTACATATGTTTCAAAAGTCCTGGACACACCTAACAAATTCCTCCCCATCTGAACCCCTGCACCAAGGGAGTCCTAGTTAATAGAGGGGAAGTTAAAATCACCCACCACAACAAACCTGTAGTTTTTACATTTTTCCATAATCTGTCCACATATCTGTTCCTCGATCTCCTGTTGCCTGTTAGGATTGTACTACATGCCTCCCAAAGTGATCACACCCTTCCTATTCCCATATGGCTCTACCCAAATGGCCTCACTGGATGAACCCTTCAAGGTATCCTCCCTCAGCACTGCCGTGATATTGTCCCTTACCAGTAATGCAACTCCCCCACCTCTTTTACATCCCTCTTTATCATGCCTGAAATATCTAAATCCTGGAATGTTAAGCTGCCAGTCTTGGCCTTTTCTTAACCAAGTCTTTGTAATAGCTACAATATCTTGGTTGTATGTATTAATCCAAGCTCTAAGTTCATCTGCGTGACCTGTCATACACCTCGTATTCAAACACATACACTTCAGACTGCCAGTCCCAATGTTTAGTAACCTCCCAGTCTGTTCTTCCTTTTAGCCTTACTGGTCTTAGTCTCTAATTCCTCCTCAGTCATTTCACTTGCTGACCTATTGCTCTGGTTCCCAAGCCATTCCTTTTTGTTAATTCACAATCCTGGAACTCTTTCCATAACAGAACTATGGGCATGTCTACATCACACATATGGCAACAGTTTATTCATAATCATATAACCACAATCACCACTGCAATCTCAACGACATTTAAGGATGGGCAAGAAACACTGGCCTTGCCAGTGACATCCAGTTCACAAATATGTTTTAAAAATCCTCCTTCAAAGAAACAGAAACTATGAGCCATTCCACTAAAGCCTGTTGCAAAAGTAGAAACTGCATACTGCCAACTTTGCCATTTGCTTTAAAGCTAAGGTAAAGTCACTGTAGTCCCAGAAGACCATAGGCTGCGCTCTCATTGAAGAGAGACAACTGGTGGTGAGTTTAATCTGAGGGTCACCACACCTCAATCGAGCAGCAGGACTGAGAAGGTGGGACCTTTATGGTGACCTCACCAGTAAGGGAACTGAACCCCTGCTGTTGGCAACACCCAACATCGCAAGCCTAATTAGCCAACTGACCCCTGCCACTCCCAGTAGCTGGATGTAAAATAGCATGTTGAAAGTGACTGTCTTCCCTCATGATTCTCACTTGGTGATGATCTGCTCATACGCTACCAAGATTAAGAAAAGCTTCCCCATCATACCTGCCTATTCGAAACGGAAATGTAGGTTGATCACCTACAATCTAACACCGTGCAGAAATTGATCGTTCTTTAATGTGCTCTGTCACATTACTTTCAACACCACTGCAATTTAATAGAGGAAGTATTCAGGCTAAGTAAAAGAAATTTAACAACAAAACTCATTTGAAGAAACTGGAGGTACCAACTCGATTTGTTCTCCTAAGATTTTTATTTATTCATTCATAGGATGTGGGCGTCACTGGCTGGGCCTGAGTTTATCGGACTTCCCCAATTACCCTTGAAAAGATGGCCGTGAGATGCGTTCTTGGAACCCTGCAGTCCATTTGGTCTCGGTAGACCCACAATGCCATTGGGGCAGAGTTCCAAGATTTTGACCTAGCAGCAGTGAAGGAACAGCGATGTACATTAAGATGATGAGTGGCTTGGAGGGAAACATGTAGGTGATGGTGTTCCCATGTATCTGCTATGGTTGTCTTTCCAAATGGAAATGGTCATGGGTTTGGGATGTGCTGTCTAAGGAGTCTTGATGAATTTCTGCACTGCGTCTTGTAGGTGATACTCAATGCTGCGATCGAACATTGGCGGTGGGGCTAGTGAATGTTTGTAGATGTGGTGTCAATCAAGTGAGCTAGTTTGTCCAGGATGGTGTCAAGTTTCTTGGACACTGTTGGAACTGCATTCATCCTGGCAAGTGAGGAGTATTCCATCACATTCCTGACTTCTGTTTTGTGGATGGTGGACAAGCTTTGGGGAGTCAGATGATAAGTTACTTGCTGCAAGATTTCAGGCTTGCAGTCACAGCACGTATATGGCTAGCCCAGTCCAGTTTCTAGTCAATGATAATCCCAGATTACTGTTAATGGGGAATTCAGTAATGGTAATGCCATGAAAGTCATGGGGCAATGGTTAGATTCTCTCTCGCAGAATGAAGTAATTGCCTAGTATTTTTGTGGTATGAGTGTTATTTGCCACTTGTCAGCCTAAACCTGGATACAGTCCAGGTCTTGATGCATTCGGACATGGACAGCTTTATTATGTGAGGAATAACGAATGCTGAGTATCCCCACTTCTGCCTTGTAATGGCGGGTCGGTCATTGATGTAGTAACTGAAGATGGTTTAGCTCAGAACACGATTCTAAGCAATGCTTACAGAAGTGTTTTAGAACCTCTAACAACCAAAACCATCTTCCTTTCTGACAGTGATGACTCTAACCAGTGGAGAGTTTCTACTGACTCCAATTTTTCTAGGGCTCCTTTAAGCCACATTCGGTGAAATGTGGCCTTAATGACAAGGGCTGTCATTCTCACCTCATCTCTGGAATTCAGCTCTTTTGCCCACGTTTGAACCAAGGCTGTACTTAGGTCAGGAGCTCAGCGACCCAAACTGAGTGTCAGTGAGCAGGTTATTGCTGAGCAAGTTCTGCCTGATAGCATTGTTGATGACACTTTCAAACACTGAGCATAAACTGATAGCGCAGTAATTGGCCGTGTTTTTTTTGTCCTGCTTTCTGTGTACAGGACATACCCCAGTAATTTGGGTAGATGGCAGAGTTGTAGCTGTACTGGAAGAGCTTGGTAGGGGTGCAGCAGGTTCTGGAGCGCCAACTTTAGTGCCATTGTTGGAATATTTTTGGGGCCAACAGCCTTTGCAGTATCCAGTGTCTCCACCGATTTCTTGTTTTGACATGGAGTGAACCGTATTGGCTGAAGACATTTGTGATGCTAAGGACCACTAGAGGAGGCTGAAAATTGCTGCAAATGCTTCAGCTTTATCTTTTGCTCCATTGTGCTGTGCTCCCCCATTATTGAGGATAGGGATATTTGTGAAGCTGCCTCTTCCTGTGAATTATTTAGTTCTCCACTACCATCAAAACTGAGTGTGGCGGGACTGTACAGTTGAGATCTGAACCGTTGGTGCGGAATTGCTCAATTCAGCCTATCTCTCGACACTTATGCAGTGTGGCACACAAGTAGGCTTGTTCATAGGCAAATCAATCTTACTTGGTATTAATCATACGTTGATCAGCACATTTCACTTATGAAATGATGAATTGAGAATGAATTATTCAATTGTAAACACATATTAAAGGCATTTTTATAAATAGTGACTATCTGGGGAGAGTGAGAGAATTGGGTGTGCAGGTAATCAGAAGCAGGAAGGGCCTAATCTATAGTGAAAACTGACACCAGCCAAGATTACACAATGTATTTTGAAAAAAATAGCTAATTTCTGCAGTCAAGATGATTAAAAAAAGTTTGAAATATATGTACAAAGTAGAAAGTTTATTTTTCCATAAGAACAGTTTTCAGTCAATTAGAATGGGCGTAACTTCGAAAATATCATCTTCATTCTGGTGCAGACACAAGAGACTGTGGCCCTTTTCTGTGCTGAAATTTGCATGTTTACATGTGTAAAATAATTTTCTAATTTTTTGAACATACCTCTTCAAAATATTCTCTGCTGTTCTTCTTCCCTTTTCGACAGCTCGTGATCCTCCAACTGGGCAGACAGCTGTGGCTCGGTACCCATCTAAATATGTAGCACAAACCTAAATACCAAGTAATTCAAAAAAAAATATGAGGAACAAATTCTGATGTGAGTTGTTATTAAAAATATTTATTCAAGGTCATTGCATCATGCTGTTCCAGTCCAAGATGGTAGTGGAGTGGGGCTCCTGAGCTTTCTTTCTTCTTACCTTGCTTTTTCCTCTCTAGCTTTTAGTTTTCTTTTTCTCTCTACTTATCTTCTGGAGGAAGTTTGGTTGTGGAGGCAGCGGTGGTGACAGCAATGGCTGGGGTCCCAGGGCAGGGACTTTGGTGGTCAGCCATGAGGTGTTTGGTGTGCCCGGGCAGAATTCTGGTGGTTGGTGGCATTGTGGGAGCAGCTGGGGGCCCAGAGCATGGGGACATCAGAGCAAGACTCTGGTGGCCTGTGGCAAGGCAGCTGGTGAGCCCAGATGGTAGTTGGCAGCAAGAAGGCAGCATGGAGGCTCAAGGATCTTGAGATCAAGCCCAGTGTGGGAGAGAAAGGATGGCGGTCGGCAGTGAGACAGCAGCGCGGAGGCATGGGGATCCAGTGATCGAGCCCTTGTGGGGAAACCCTAGCGTGGAGTGACTTCAAGCCCATAGCTAAAGAAGGGGTGTAATTTGGAACTTTTAACTGTATTTCTTATTTAGTATACACTGACAAGAACTGTAAGGTTGAACTTTTAACTTATTTCTTCATTTTTCTACTTTTACCTAAGATTTTGTACCTAGCTACCTTGTACCTAAGATGGTGCCATGAATGGCAACATTATAAACTTTCCACTGTTCTCCTGTATCTCTTTACTTGAGTACACATGACAATAAAATCTAATCCTTATTCATTTAAATTCAAACTATTCGAGGGACGAGGGATGATCAAGAGGAAGGAAAGCAATGAAACATAATATAAGATGAAAGAGCACAGAAATTAGGATGGCCCAGTTGTGAATAAATATGGAGATACCTCACTAAGATGATACCAGGGATAAGAGGCATTTTTATGAAAAGAGAGCAAGGAAAATCAGGCTCTTTACAGGAGAGTAAAAATGGTCAAGAGGAGATGTAAGGGAATTATTCAAAGTTACACAGGGTTTTGGCAAAGCAAAGCCAGGAAAAACAATTTCTACTGGTCAGTGAGTCTGTAAAAATACAGCAAAATACAAGACCATCACTAAAAAGTAGAAAGGAGGCAGGAAAATTATGTCTTTTTAAAACATAATTCACAATGTAAGTGAACATTTACTACTTGAAAACATAGCTTTATCATTGTGTGCTGGCCAATATCCCTTACTCAGTCAACACCACATAAAAGAGATAAATTAGATTTCAGTTGTAATACCATTTGTAGGGTCTTGCTGTGTACAAACTGGCTGCCATATATGTCCAAAATAGTAACAGTCATTGCAGAATGTGGTTTATTCTAAGCACAGCACTTTACACGTCACCATCCATTACATAGTGCCTGACTGCCCTCTTCATATTTCATCATCTGCCAACATTATCGTTTTCCACAGAACACATAACGTTATATTTCACAAAATGCATAGATCATTCTGCACAGAAGTCATAATCAATCCTGATACAATGAATTTCAAGAAATTGTCTGATTTATTCTTTTTTTAACTCATTCTCAACATGTGGGCATTGCTGGCTAAGCAAACATTTATTGGTCATCCAGAAATTGCCCAGAGAAAAGTCATGAGTCAACAACCTTACTGTGGGTCTGGAGTCATATGTAGACCAGCTAAGGAAAGCTTCTTTCTTCCCCTGAAGGGCATTAGTGAACCGGATGGATTTTTCTGACAATAGACATTGGCTTCATTGGACCCTTAATTACAGATTTTTCATTTAAGTTATAGTCATATTGTACTTCTTGGTCTGAAATCAGTAACTGCAG